TGGGGCTCGATCCCAGGACCCTGGGATCATGACCTGAGCCGAAGGCAGACACTTAACCATCTGAGCCACCCAGGCGCCCCTCATTATGGTTTTGATTTGCATTTCTGGAACGACCAATGATAACGTGTTTGTTAACTATTTGTCAGGACCTCTGTACATTATTAAAAAGTATTGAGGAGGGGCGCCTGGGTGGCTCAGCTGGTTGACCATCCGGCTCTTGATTTTCTTTCAGGTCATGATCTCAGGGTCGTGGGATCGAGCTCTGGCATTGGGCTCAATGCTGGGCATGGAGCCTGCTTAGGATTCTCTCTCTCTCCCTCTCCCTCTGCCCCTTCCCACCCCCACCCCACCCCTGTGCTCTATATCTCTAAGGAAAAGAAAAAGAGTATTGAGAATCCCAAATTCATCTGTGTAGTTATAGCTAGTGATGCCACATTTAGACACTAAAACCAAGAAATTTAAAAAATATTATTTATTAGTTCTCTTATAAACAACAGTAATAAACTCATTACATGTTAACATCAGAGCAATGACATCATCACATATCATGTAGTTTCTGGAAAACTCCACCATACACTTAGAATGAGCATGAAAAAGGTAAATAACATCTTAATTATTATTTAAAACACTTGATTTCATAGGTCTTCCTCACCCCCAACTCCAAAATGAGTCATGATAATTCAATTCAGTTTTACTCAAGATAAGTAAGACTAAAAACAAAAATTTTTTTTTCTGGTCTGAGATTCCTCTCAACCCAGAAAACATGTACTTGGCGGCGTGGGCAACATGGACACTGGAATCTGGATTGTACTTGGTTAGTCATAGAAAGGGCAGAAAATAGTTCTTTAATCTGGATATGGACCTGCTGACGCCTGCCCATTTTAAAAATAATGCTTTTCTGGCCTTTCAGAAATGAAAACTGGCTGGTTTTAACCTTTCATTAATCTCCTTAATCATGTGATTTTTGAGAGTGGGTGGGCATGGAGACCTAGAACCCAGTGGTTCTCAAAGTGTGGTCTCCAGACCACTCTCAGCAGCATCACCTGGAACTTGTTACACGTGTAAATCCTCAGCCGGCCGGTACCTGCTGACTCAGAAACCCTGGAGATGCCCCCACCCGTGGCCGAACCAGGCCTCCAGGTAATTCTGATTTGCTAACCATGTTGCTAACAGTTTGAGGGCTACTAAGGGGCGAACTTTTCCATGTTACCTTCTGTCAGTGTGATCTCCCTCCCTGTGCCATACTGCCTTCTTCTTTCCTTCCATCCATAAACATTGAATGGATTGATCCCTTATCAGTGCTTTTATAACACTGATTCGGAAATGTAAGCATTCGCACATGATGCGTCTGTGAACATCACATTCGTGCAGACCAAATTCAGAGCATCATTTATAGCAATCCCACAGAAACTAACTCGTAAGGGGGTGTGTTAGTAATGTACAGGTAGAGTTTTTTACTAGGTACAGTTCATTACCTGGGACTTAGTTTACCCTTTTTTTCCCAGCATACCTCTAGTAAAAATCCTTTTAAACGCTGAAGCTCTGTGATCCCCCAGAGGCTTGGCTGCCCTCTGTCGGTGTTAGCCAAAGATTACTCTGCTATGGCTTCTGTTTAGAAGTTCAGACTGAAGGTTCAGTGAAAGGGGGCTAGTTTAGAGGACGGAGCTAAGGACAAAAAGATTCAGAGTTCTTAGAAAGCATTCATTAAGGAATGTGGCCAGGAGAATGGACTAATCAACCGAATCAATCAGAAGCTGGGGAAGGATCTCAGTCAATCACAGGATGGGGTCCAATTACATAGGGTAAGGAGTGTGTGTGTGTGTCTACTTACATTCCTGCTAGGGTTTTCCTTGGGATTTCTAAACTGGGACGTTAGGATGGAATTAACATGAAGCCACTGTTCTTTATACCATATGTGGTGTGGACAGAGTCCCGTGCTATTCAAGCTTGAATGACCATGTCGACATGAAAGTAAGACCTACAGTTCTGGCGGTTCTTTCCTGTTCTTCCAGTGACCTTGGAACTACTGCTGAGAAGCAGGTCGAGTTCACTCATTGATACTACAGAGCTGGTTTTGTCATGAGGTTGCAGTTGCCCGATGTGTCAGCGTGGGACTTCAGAGTTTTCCAAAACCGAAGAGATCACGGGAGATGCCTCTTGGGTGAGTGTTCGACTTCTTTGATTTTGCTCGTGCTTTATGACTTCTGTGAGCTGTTCTTGGCTTCTTACCACTCCTGGTTTTCTAGATTGTTCTTCTCCTCTTCCTCCTGTAGTGATACAGCTAAGTCACAGTCATAGGTGTAATACTGCACCAAGAAAAAAAATGTGATCCCCACCCTAAACCGATGTGCCTAGAGCCTTCCACATAAACCCCCACTGACCTGCTAACTTAAAATTCCACCCCTGGATCCTGTTACCTTCCCACAGGCTGAAATCTGACCCCAAGGCCTCTCGGTGCCTCCAGAGGCCCAGACTGGCTGCCCCGTGGTTCCTACAGCAGGATGATGCAATCATTGTGCAGTGAGTAGATCTTCCATTTCCTTGTCAGCTCCAGGGCTGGGTGGTTACGGGTGTGGAGCCTGCGTGGATCTCAGGACTGCAGGATGGGTTCTGCTTTGGGGCTGATCCCCCAAGGGGTGTCCTGCTGTTTGCATTTATTTCATCCAGAGGCTAAGGAGTCCCCCTGTCATACTCGAAAATCTGGGGTCATCCCTGCTCCATCTTCCTTAACCCTTAGTGCCAATCAGCTGGAAAATCCTGCTAATTTGACTCCCTTTATGTATTTCTTGATTCTTGTCCTCCTTTTCAATGTGTGCCCACTGACCTAGCTCATGCTCACCGTGTCTCTCCAAATATTCTGTCATAACTGCACCATGATTCCTTGGTCCCTTAATCTAGCCTCTGTTGTAGCCAGACTGTCCGAAGGGCCAGTGCTACCATTTGTCCCTGGGTCAAGCTTCTGTGGCTCTCTGTTGCCCTCAGTATAGGGTCCGAACCCCTCTGTCTGACCTGTGGGTCTGATGGTCAGTGTCCATCCCTACAGCACTGCTCTCACCACTGCCCGTGCACCTCACAAGCTGATGTTCAGAACTGCCTGACTTCTCCGGACATTGTCCTTACCTTACCTCTCCCCTTGCTCCCCCCGTCTCCACTTAGCAGCCATCTCCCGTCTTCCTTTATCCGGCCAGAGGCCCCGTCAACTCTTGTTGGCACCCCATGTAGGATTCAGTGTCCTTCCTTTTTGCTCCTATAACACCTCAATCTTGGGCTTTAAAAATTTGTATTTGCACTCTCTATTTTTGGCCTCTTCTCCTCCATGGGTCTGTAAGCTCCTCAGAGCAGGGGCCATTTGCATTCATCTTTGGGTCCCTAGCAAGTGCTTGGCACGTAGCAGATATTCTTGTGACAGTGTTTTGTTTTGTTTTTTTTTAATTGAGATACGATTGACATGTAACATTGTGTAAGTTTGTGCTATACAACATGTTTATATATTTTTTACTATATTGTATTACTGTATTGCAACATGATTACCACCATAGCGTTAGCGAACACCTCCATCGAGTCACATAATTATCATTTCTTTTTTGTGGGGAGAACATTTAAGATCTAGTCTCTTAGCAACTTTGAAGTATATAATATGGTATTGTTGACTATAATCACTATGCTGTGCATTAGATCTCCAGAAATTATTCATTTTCTTTTTTTTTTTTTAAAGATTTTATTTATTTATTTGTCAGAGAGACAGAACACAAGCAGGGGGAGAGGCAGGCAGAGGGAGAAGCAGGCTCCCCGCCGAGCAAGGAGCCCGATGTGGGACTCGATCCCAGCACCCTGGGATCATGACCTGAGCCGAAGGCAGCCGCTTAACCGACTGAGCCACCCAGGCGTCCCGAAATTATTCATTTTCTAATTGCGAGCCTGTGCCCTTTGCCCAACATCTGTATAGGAGATATTCTATAAATTTTTTTGAATTATGTGGAGGACAGTAGGTGCAGAGAAGGGATAATAATAGTAGCAGTGCTAAGTGATTTTCATGAATTGATAGCTCCTAGTTTCTAGCCAGCAGTGTACTATAAGAACTTTCTGATGATGGTAATGTTTTGTATCTGTGTTGTCCAATAAGGTAGCCGTATGAGGCTACTGAACACCTGACATGTGGCTAGTGTAGCTGATGAACTGAATGTTTTATTTTATTTCATTTATTTAAGTTTAGACTAAAATATCCACCATGTGGCCAGTGGCTACCGTGCTGGACGGTATAGTCCTAGACCTTCCCCAGCCCTTACTGAGTCCACAGGAATATCTCATTACTTCCTGCCTTGCTTAGAGCTCCCGTGGGGCAGGGCTGTAAGAATGGTGTGCTGGTAAATGATTAACAACCAGCTTTCTGAAAAAGTTGGCCTATTTCCATGGTGTAAGTACTCCCACCACGCCCGGTTTCGAGCTACCAACGTGACATAAGTGAACACAGAATTGGGAAGAGGTATGCAGTAGCAGACCATCATATTGCAATTCCTCGATACAGATACAATAGATTTAAATAACCCTGAGAACAAATAAAGTAGTAAAATAATTAGAAAGTGGCTACTTTTGAGTATTTATTAACTTTGTTTTTAATATAACCTATGTAACTATGTTTACATACTGAATTTTCGATAATGGCTGTGCTTAAAAACAGTTCACAAAATTCATGAAAATTCAGCTTTTGGTTGTCAGGAGCCAGGGGAAGCCAACAGCTGTTGTTTATCACTGGCTCCTAGTAATTGGTCCAAAAAAAAAAAAGTCAAATGTAGGATTTCTGTGTGGCCACAAGAGGGCACCACCAGGTGAAATTAGATTCTAGGAAGGCTTTTCTCCCTAGCTAGACCGGGTGGCAGAAAGCTCAGTTTGAGGAATGAATGTGTGTCTCCTGAAAGACCATAATTCTGGGAGAGCTTCTGGGAACTCATCTAGTTTCAGGGTATTCGTTACGTCACAGCATAAATTCCAAACGTTTACCACTGCCAAATACCTTTGTCCCTTTGTGTCTGAAGGCTTTTTTTTTTTTTTT